ACGATCTTGGAGGCCATCTTGGCCACTTTGAGGCCCTCTTGGAGCCATCTTAGGCCATCTTGGCCGCTCCAACGCCTCGTGAAACGCTCCGTGCAGGCCCAGGCGGATAGGGTAGGGGGAGGGGGAACCCCCTCCCCGAAGGGGAAGAAGGGGGTTTAGCAAAACAAGCTCCTTAAAAAACTCACGCCCTAAAGGGCTGGTGGGACTATTTAATCGCTTCGCTCACTCCACTGGCCCATGTTGGAGGCTTCTGGGGCCGTCTTGGGGCCGTGCTTGGGTGGTGGTAGAGGACGGGGGCGAGGAGGAGGAGGAGGAGGAAAATGAGGATGAGGAAGAGGACGTACATGAGGCCCGCTTCGCCGGAGACGTCCTCCGGAGACACCTGCAGGATCCCACCTGTGGTTCTCTCCACATTGTCTAAAGCATCTGACCTTCTGAGCCCTTCTCACCTCACCTCCCGTCATATCATCGAAGACGCCTACGGCGAATCACCGCCGCCCCCTGCCTTTTTGGAAACGTCTATGCGGCCGAAACCTGGCTAGAGCTTGGCCAAGCTATCGGACCATGAGTTCCGACTTCTTAGGGAGCCTGTGGAAGCCGTCTTGGGGGCCTCTCTGAACCGATTTGGGGCCCTCTTGGAGGCCATCTTGGGTGTCTTGGAAGCCACTTGGGCCGTACTGGGGCCCTCTTGGGGCCTTCTTGGTAGCCTCTTGGGACGTCTTTGGCAGTCGGAAGGCTGAAAAGAAGCACATGCGAAAGCTTTAAGAAATCATTGATTTGGGTCTTTTCGGGCCCTCCTGGAGGACCTCTTGGAGGCTTCGTGGGCCGTCTTGAAGGCCTTTGGGGGGTCTCTTGGGCCGTCTTGGAGCCATCTTGGACCCTCTTGGGCCATATTGGAGGCGTCTTGCTGCTGGTGCTGCTGCTGATGGTGGTGCTGATGCTGGTGGTGCTGACGCTGGTGCTGATGCTGATGGTGCTGGTGCTGCTGCTGATGGTGGTGCTGATCGTGCTGGTGCTGGTGCTGGCGCTGGTGTTGCTGCTGATGGTGCTGGTGCCGCTGATGCTGCTGGTGCCGGTGCTCCTTCGGGGTCCTCTTGGGGCCCTCTGAGTGCCAGGTTGGAAGGTCTTGGGTCTTGGGGTCCTCTTGGTGCTCTTTTGCCGGGTTTTGAGGCCCTCTTGGAGGCCTTTCGGGGGCCTCGGAGCGGCCCTTGGAGCCATCTTGGGAAGCATCGATTAAAGGAGGGTGGGTCCTTTACGACGGCGCCGATGGCGACGACGACGACCGTCGTCCGGCCTGGGTCGCCGGGCATGCCCGCCGGGCGGAGGGCGTGGCCCGTCGAGGGCGTGGTGTCGAGGGCGCCCTCCTGCTCCTCCTCCTCCTCCTCCTCCTCCTCCTCCTCCTCCTCCTCCTCCTCCTCCTCCTCCTCCTCCTCGGTCCTCCTCATCGCCCCCCTCCTCCCCTCGCCCCCTTCTACCCGTATCAAGTTCCCCGGTTCGGCTCGTCCTCAGTCGTCCTTGTCTCATCCCTCCTCTCCTCTACACCCCCCCTCCTCTCCTTTCGCTTCCCTTTTTAGGCACGCTCTCCCGCGATAGGGGGAATCTCATGCACACGCAGCGCAGGGGGCTCGCGCTTCGACGGGCCAGTTGAGCAACTCAGCGGCCCGCAAAACAAACCTTCATGTGCTCGGGGGCCTGCGGGGGAGGAGAAGGACAGCAAGCGTTCGTTATCTGAAGAGTTTCGGCCCAAACTCTCGCAGGGCCTACGCGAGAGAAGGGGCCGCCAGGGATCGCGGTCCAAGCGCTGCCATGATTTGGGGACGCAGCGCGCAGCATGAGTCCGCAGGCCAGCCCTTCATGGAAACCGGCCAACGGGACGCCAAAACAAGCGGATGTCTGATACGAGTAGGCGACGCCATGCCAAGAGCAGCCGGGCGATTGTCGGCATAGATTGGGGACGTCGGAAGGGAACGGTTTTTTACAAAATCTCCCCAGCCCCTTCAGTCAATCCAAACCGATAATCAGTTTTCGTCTTGGCATGGCAACGCAGCTGTTGGGCAAAGATTGTGCTGTTATGACCACGTTCCTGTCTAGACGCAGCGGCTCAAAGAACGCGGGGGGCGCGCGCCCGCCTGCGCCTTCGCCATGTCCCGCAGGCAGTCCGGCGATGGCAGGGCTGCGAGGCAGGGGCTTGCGGACGAGCGCGCAGGGCGTCTCAATCGTCTCTTGGTGGGTCGAGGCGATGGCGCCCTGCGGCTCCTCAAGGATACCCGGCTCTTCCACCACGACGACGACGAGGCTTTGCCGATGAGAGGCGCTGCGCTGCCGCCGCGGCGAGGGTGCCAGGCCGCGCTTCGCGGCCAGGCCGTTTTCGTGCTGGACGTATTCAAGAGGTACGGGGTGGCGTCGGCCGACGTGGCGCCGGTGGAGGAGCTCCCGCCTGATGCAGAGGGGGCCGTGTGGGGATTGGGGACAGTGTTCACGTGCAGACTGGCGGATTTGCGCGATGCCGCCTACGAGCTCAAGGTGACCGTGGTCAATCAACGCGTGCGTCTTCGGCGAGATACCAGCGCGATATCCTCGCCCACGAAGACGCGGTCGGTGAACATGGCGCGCGTGGTGGCCGCGACTCTGCGGGCGGGCCACGCGCCTCTGGACCTCCGCCGGACGCCTGGGCATCCTGAGCCGGTGCAGGTGCATCCGTCGGGGATCAAGGCGCACCAGGACTGGGCCCGCGAGATGGGGGAGGAGCACCGCGCCGTGATGGACAAAAGACGCCACGCGCACCCTTACTGGGTGCTCGACGTCCCGGGCCCCATGCCGTTCTACGCCCAACCGTGGCGGTGCGACACGTGCCGATTGAAGGGGTCCTTGGCCGATCGGCTCCCCTTGCGGCGCATTGCGTCTGCACCCGAGGAGGCCTTGAGGACTTACTTCCAGGTGTTGGACTCGGACGTCGCCGCCGCATTCCCGAACGTCGCCGTGTTACACAACGCCAAGGAGGGCACGGCGCGCTTCACCGCCAGGTTCTTCTTCGAGGTGGCCCAGCGCCTGTACGAGTGTTTCAACTCCCGCGAGGTGCGCAGGCACATCGTGTCCATGTACTCGTGCAACGCCTTGTCGCAGGCCCTCTCGCTGGACGGCGCCCCGGTCGCCCCTGCCTCCCTCCCGTGGCAGGTGTGCGCAGTGCCCGACGACGCCATGATGAGGAGCATCTTGATGACGGGTTTCCGGGGGTTTCTCCAGAGTAGAGTCGACGTCATGAAGCGGAGGCAGTTGTGCTACAACGCGCGGGGCATCAGACTGGACGGTAATTTCAAGCTCGGCAAGATCATCAGGGTCCCTGATGGCGGGACCGCGTACTCCGTGGCCATGGGCTTCTGCGGCCTCGACGGCTCCCTCCTCGTCCCACCCGTGCCGCTGACCCACGAGTCCTGGGATCAAATTGAGACTATCCTCCAGCCCCTTCTTGAAGACGTCAGGGGCACAATGATGGCTTGTGGCTATTCTGCGGACGAGTCCCAGCCGGTCTTCTGCTCCACGGACGTCTACGAGAAACACCGGCTTCGGCTACGAGGCGCGTTTGCGAAGGTCTGGTCCGGCCTCCGGCTCGTTTCCGATGGCGTCACCCCGAAGGCGCCGGCCTCCAGGAAACGCGTTCTCGCCTCGGAGCACGTCCCCGGGTGCGCGCTGATTACCGGCGACCCGCAGCATTGCATCATCAAGATGAGGCGCTTCGTCAGCCCCCACAGCGCGGACGGCCGCGACTTCCAGTTCGACTACATCGACGCGATCAATAGGCTGAGTAAGCCGAGGGCGCTAGCCGACGCCGCGGCGGTTCGCGGCTGCTGGAGGCCTCTGTCCCCCGCGGGTCGCGACTTGCTGCGCGCCGCCGTGTCGCTCCCGAAGGAGAAGTACGACGCCGTCGCTGGCCGCGCCCCGGCGGCCGCAAGAGAGAATTTCAGGCAGTTCATGGGGAAGCCGCGAGTTCTCCAGGACCCAGTGTGGGTTGAGTACTTCGGGGCGCGGCCGCCTCGGGGGACGCTGGCGCGCGTGGCGCGGCGAGCCGGCGCGGCTTTGCACAGCGCCTTGCACCCGCACGGGTGGGAGTCCAAAAAGAGCTTCCGGGCTGAGATTCACTGCCTCCGCGAGTGGTACAAGGCCGGCCGCAAGTCCTGGGCCCGGCGCCGGGGCATCCGCCGAGGACACGCGGCCGGGCCGTGGCGGCCCTCGCGGGACTCCGTGCTGAAGGCGAAGTTGAAGCAGCACCTCCGCGTCCTCGTGTCTCATCTCAAGGTAGAGGCGTTGTTCAAGTGGCGCGAGGTTGCCGACTTGCTCCACGAGGCCGGCGTCGACATGCAGTCTGGAACGGTGCCAGTAGAGCGGTTATGGGCGAATTTCGTGTGCTATTTCCCCGACGCTGCCAGAGGCATGAGCCGGGACTGGTGGGATCTCCTGAACAATTTGGGGTACATGCGCTACAACTTTCGGCACTTCAACCACCCGCACCTGGACGCCTGGACGCGCGGAGACGCGCTGATAGCAGAGCGCATAGACAACATGATCACATTGGCGAGGGCCCTCCAGAGCCACGGCCAGGGCACCTCTCCTCAGCTGGCCGCGCTGTTCAAGGACATCATGGGCGATGTGCGCGACGTGCAGGAGGCCGCGTGAGGAAGCGCCCGCCGCGCGCCGCTGCAGACTGCCTCCCTGGTGCCGCGCCCAGCTTCGGGTCGCGAACTGATGCCAGGACTGCCGCCCAGGTGCCGCGCCCATCTTCGGGCCGCGAAAAATGCGAGGTTGCCTCCCCCGCCCCCCGCACAATACCAATATGTTGTCAAGTATTGCCCCCGCCCCCCCCCGCAGCGCTGATCGCACTCGGCCGCCTGTGGCCATTCGGCTTCGCATGGCCTGCCTCGTCGCCACCTGACCATTGTTGCTTGATGTTCTCTGGCATCGGCATGTTATGTTCGGCTTCCCATGGCAATCGGACCTCCGCCCACATGGCCGGGACGTCCGGAGTTGGCCCTGGCGTCATGCAGCCCCCCCCCCCCCCTCTTTCGATTCGTTAATGGAGGGCGGAGGGGGGGCACATTGTGAAAACATTTTTTCTGCAGAATTCTCCCCCCCGCGGGCCAGCTATGGCAGGATATGCTAACATGCTTGGGGGCGCGTCCCCATGCATTGATTGGATATGGCCGCCCTCGGTTATTCGACTTCTCATGGCCTGTCCCGTTAGCCGCGCTTCCCGAGATTTGCCCCTGCCCCCGGGGCCCTGGGGGCACCCTGGCCCAGCGGCCCAGTTCTTTGCGGCCCCCCGACCTAATGGCTTCGTCTTCGAGGGCCGGCCGTGACCGCTCGGCCTCCCACGTTGGCCTTGCTGCCCCCGATAGGCTTCGGCGCATCCCCGCGGCCCCCCGTCCTCGCCCGCCGTTTCTACCCCCCCCCTCGCAGGCGAGGCAGCGCGCCCGCCGGTGCAGCACGCCCGCTGGGAGAAATACCGGCGTGGGCAGCTGCCCGGGCACGCCGACGCGAAGCAGCCTGCGGACGCCGCTGCAGCAGCTCTGGTTGCCGACGCCCGCGCGGCTGGCAAGCGCGGCGCAGCTGATTCCTCGGCGGCGTCGCCTCTCTTCAAGCAGCAGCGCGTCGACGACGGCGCCTCGGGGGCCGCGCAGGCGGCAGCCGCGGCGCCGATCGTCGAGCGCGAGCAGGGCGCCAAGAGGGAGCTCGTCGGCACAAAGGCGGAGGAGCCTGCTGGGGTCGCCAAGAGGGAGCCGATCGTCAAGATCGAGAAGAACGCCAGCACCAAGGAGGAGGAGCCCGCTGGGGTCGTCAAGCGGGAGCCCAGGGAGGGCGCCGTCGCGGCGCTCGCGACGAGCGCCCCGCCAACGTACCGATGCAGGCGCGCCCAGCCGCCGCGCTCGGCCAGCCGCGCGCCAGAGGAATTGCAAGTCGCTGCTGCGCCAGGGCCTGCACGGTCCCAGTCCCCGTGCTCGCCGACGCAGAGGTGCGCTGCGTCGCCGGACCCCGTTTTCAAGTACCAGCTGCCAGACAGCGCCACCAGCGGGCCGAGTTCGGATCCGGACCCCGCCGCGTCCGTCATCCACGCGGTAACGGCCGCCGAGAGCATCCAGGACGTGCAGGGCTGCTTGTTCCCATCCGACCTCTTCGCGGGCTTCCAGACGGAAGCGCAGATCTACCAGAGCGTGCAGGAGAACCTCCAGGCGATGCACGAGGACACGAGGACCCACCGCGAGCTCGCGGTCCGCCACGACTTCATCATGACGGGCACGTGCCCCACGCCCATCCTCAAGGCTGCAGAAACCATCTGCTTGAAACAAGGGATTCACTTGGAATCCTTCCTCCTCTGCCTGGACGCGAACGTCACCTGGCTCGAACACCACCGGACACGCTTGGGCTCCGAGTTCCCCCCGGAGAACGACCCGGTGATCCAGCTGCAGGACGACGTGATGGACGTCAAGGCCATCCTCGAGGACATGGAGAAAGACGAGAAGAAACCGAAGCGCCGAGCGCGCGCCAAGAAGAAGGCTACGCTTGGAGGCGCCCGATCTGAACCGGACGCCCCCGCCTCGGCGGAGTCGGACGGCTTCGCCCCCGCGGACCCCGGCGCCCCCCCCCCCCGGGCGGCCGCGCCGGCCCCGAGCTTCCAAGACGTGATGGAGTCGACCCTCCAGCAGGCCTCGCTCGACCAAGACAGCGTGGATGAGATCTGCCGCAGAATGGGAGGGGTGCTCGGGCGCGCAGTCACGGCGGTCGAAAAGAAGATGGTCAGGGCGGCATCCCACGAGATGATGAGGCAGCTCGAATGCGAGGATGAGGCGGAAGAGGCCGTTGCTGCCGTGCCTCTGGATGCTCCTCTGGGGGTGGTGCAGGAGGTGCACCGCGTGCACTGCATCTCCCCCAACAAGGCCGTCATCTGCGGCGGCTCGCCCTCGAGCCGCAAGAGCCGCAGCTGCGATCTGTCCAATGACTTCATCACGAAGTCCGCCTACGCGCCGCCCGACCTTGCCACGGGCGCGGCGTACCTCGCCGAAGCGACGCTCCGGGGCATCCGCACCTGCTTACTGAAGACGCACCGAGCCTCCATGACCACGGACGAGCTGATGAACGCCATGGTCACGCCGTGGTCCGACGGGAAGGACCAGTCACACTGCGTACCGCGGTCCAGACTCTGCACGTACACCCAGGCCGAAAGGGACGACATCATAACAGCCACGGGCCCAGTGCATCTGCGCTCCTACTCCTTCCAATTCAAACTCTTCGGCCAGCTGGAGGGCGCGGAGTGGGCCCTGCGGCCTGGACCGCAAGGCTTCTTCAAACGGGTCGCGTTCAGCGTGTCCCCCGAGAACAACCCGTGGGACGACAGAGTGTGCACCAGCATGTCCATGGGGCTCATTCAGGGTTTGCACGACTACATGTTCCTTGGGCCTTTCAAGCAGCCGCGCTACCTCCACTTGAGCGGCCAGACCCAGACGTTCTTGCGAATCGTACTGCAGGCTATCAGAGATTGGATCAAGGAGAAGGAGGAGTCCGGCGTCGACGTCAGCAAGTGGCTCAAAATCAAGCTCGGGTTCGCCTTCTCCGACATTCTGCGGAACGGGGCCTCCACCATGCGCCAGGTTCAGTACTTGATGTCTCTGAGCAAGGCCAGCCAGGGCGCGGCGCCGCGTCACTGCATAATCCCAATGGAATTTATGGCGGGCTTGCACAAATATTTTCGAGAACTGGAACTTCACGCTGGTTTCTACCGCTACATCAGGTCCGCGGAAGCGACGCTGCCGCCGCATGCTCGGGAGAGCGCGCTCTCCGAGGCGTTCGAGCGGGCCCCAGGGCCGCCGCGGGCCGACGTCGGCCTGTCCGACGAGTGCAAGATGAAGCGGGACCTGATCCTGGTCGGAAAAGGGCTGGGGGGGGGCTTTAGCTCCACGGAGGTATACCGCAAGGTGCGCGACCGTTACCGAAACGTCAGTGAGGCCGGAGTGAAGATGACCGAGGCGGCCGAGGTGATGGCGCAGAACACCATCTTGCTGAAGGTGGCCAAGCCGGCCGGGAAGAACACGCGCGGCCCCTCCAAGCAGCATTACAAGCTCAACACCTGGGAGGACGTATCTTCCGAGGGCCGCAAGGTGCTGGGGATTCAAGCGTACTTCCCCTTGCCCATTGTATTTATATGTGCCACCCTCGTCTCCTCCCTCCTCCTCCTCCTCCTCCTCCTCCTCCTCCTCCTCCTCCTCCTCCTCCTCTTTTTGGTAGCCCCGACAGAAGCCACGTAGGGTAGAGCTTGCCGGGTCGAGGCAAAACAAAAACAATGCGAGGCAGAGCAAGGCCATGCATAACATTTGGTGCGGGCAGGGCCAGGAAGGCGGAATCCTTTGCAAATCGACCGTTTTGTGTTGAACTTCCCCCTCGCCCTCCCGGGCCCGCCTTCCGCGGTCGATATGGCTTTCGATTCTGCGTCGACGTCCGCCCAAGGTGCTCGAGGCTCTGAAGCTAAACCGGGACTCGTTCCTCTGAAGGCAGCCGGACAGGATCTCCATCACTTCGATTGGGCGCTGGTAGGGGCCAGCGTTTCAATGACACGGGCGCAGTTTAGGTTGTCTTGAAGAATGAAACCAGGGGCGGTCGATTCGGGGGGCGGCCGCCTGCGATCTTGGCTCGGCCATATTTTCACTTTCGCTGTCTTAAGCATGCTGTGTCCTTCCTGGCCGGGGGCGGATGGATTGCATTCTCAGCGCAATTTGTATGTATGTTCCCCCTTCCCCTTCTCCTCCTTCCCCTCTTTTGCGGCTGCTTGATTTGTGCCGGACTGGGTAAAGTCAGGCACGCAGCCTAATACTTGCCAGCATTTGTGTTCGTCCCCCTCCCCCCCTCCTCCCCCTCGTCTTTCCTCCCCCTCCCCATTCCTTTCCTCCTCTTGTGGCGGTTCCTGCAAATGGGCATTCCTGTGCACCGATTCCGTGCTACACGCATGCGCGTCGCTTCCACAGTCCAGGGTTTTTGTTTCGGGCCTGGCAGGTTGCGTGAATTTGCGTACGCTCGGCTGCCAGCAGGCCGACACTCGAGACATCGATTGGTTGGTGCTTCGCGCGTTCCCTATCCTTCATTCCCCCCCTCTCCCATGACCTGTCCTTCATGACGAGTTGGCAGGACGACGAAGACGACGGCGATGGCGACGATGATGTTCATGATGGCGATGATGACGATGATGACGATTGCGACGATGGGGACGATACCGACGTTGACGATAACGATAATGATGATGACGATGATGACGATGTTGATGATGATGACGGCGACGCTGATGACGATGACTATGACGATGGTGATGACGACGACGGCGACGATGGTGATGACAATGATGACGATGACGATGATGGCGATGATACCGACGGCGGTGCTGATGGTGATGATTGCGATGATGGTGATGATGATGATGACAATGCCGACGACGATGTTGACGACGACCACGGTGACGGTCAAGATGATGGTGATGGTGTTGTTGACGATTACGACAATGCTGTTGACGACGATGACGATGACGATGACAAGGGAAACTCTATATAACAAGCAACGTTCATCGGAGGTGAGAGGGTGAGATCGAAGTGGAACGGAGAGCCCCCCTACCGGGAAATCGATTTCGGTTTCGTGTTCGTGCGTGCCGTGCGTGCGGGCGAGGCGACGCTGCGTGGGCGGGCGAGAGGAAAGTCTCCTGTTGCTGAGGCGCGGCCGGACCAAATGATACTCCACCGGGCGGCCGGTGGCGCGCGGTGTCCCACCGCTGTCCCGGTGGTGTCCTCTATGGCTGAGGCGCGGCCGGACCAAATGATTCTCCACCGGGCGGCCGGTGGCGCGCGGTGTCCCGCCGGTGTCCCGCCGGTGTCCCGTCGGTGTCCCGTCGGTGTCCCGATCATGATGATGATGATGATGATGATGATGATGATGATGATGATGATGATGATGATGATGATGACGATGATGATGATGATGATGATGATGATGATGATGATGATGATGATGATGATGATGATGATGATGATGATGATGATGATGATGATGATGATGATGATGATGATGATGATGATGATGATGATGATGATGATGATGATGATGATGATGATGATGATGATGATGATGATGATGATGATGATGATGATGATGATGATGATGATGACGTCGATTGCGAGATCGATTGTGATCGGCAGTGAGACCGAATGTGAGACCGAATGTGAGATCGATTGTGAGATCGATTGTGAGATCGATTGTGAGATCGACTGTGAAACCGAATGTGAGATTGATTGTGAGATCGATTGCGGGATCGATAGTGAGATCGATAGTGAGACCGAATCGGAAATCGATAGTGAGATCCATAGTGAGATCGATAGTGAGATCGATCGTCAGATCGATTGTGAGATCGATCGAATGAGATCGATAGTGATATCAATAGTGAGATCGATAGTGAGACCGAATGTGGGATCGATTGTGATATCGATTGTGATGTCGATAGTCAAATCGATAGGGAGACCGAATGTGAGATTGATTGTGAGATCGATTGTGAGATCGATAGTGCGATCGATAGTGAGACCGAATGTGAGATCGATTGTGAGATCGATTGTGATATCGATAGTGAGATCGATGGTGAGACCGATTTTGAGATCGATTGTGAGATCTATAGTGAGATCGATAGTGAGACCGAATGTGAGATCGATTGTGATATCGATAGTGAAATCGATAGTGAGACCGAATGGGAGATCGATAGTGAGATCGATTGTGAGACCGAATGTGAGATCGATTGTGATATCGATAGTGAGATCGATAGTGAGACCGAATGTGAGATCGATAGTGAGATCGATAGTGAGATCGATAGTGAGACCGAATGTGAGATCGATTGTGATATCGATAGTGAAGTCGATAGTGAGACCGAATGGGAGAGCGATAGTGAGATCGATAGTGAGACCGAACGTGAGATCGATAGTGATATCGAGAGTGAGATCGATCGAGTGCGACGTTGGTCCCTCCCCCCCCCTCACCTCCTTATCACCCGAAGGGTGGTCGTATAGGTACAACATTTCCTTTTTAAGGTTTTCCACGAGGAGGCGGAGGAGCAGGAAATGGAGGAGCAGGAGTAGGAGGAGGAGGAGGACGCGGGTGATGGTGACGATGATGACGAAGATGAGTTGGCAGGACGAACCCGACCTGGAGGCGAGGATCGAGGACCGAGGTTCCAGGTTCGAATGCCTGCACTCCGATTCAGACTGACTGCGTCATGCCTTAACTCGGGTAGCTGAGGGAAACTGAGGGTAACTAGGTGTAACTAGGTGTAACTAGGTGTAACTAGGTGTAACTGGGTGTAACTAGGTGTAACTAGGTGTAACTAGGTGTAACTGGGTGTAACTAGGTGTAACTAGGTGTAACTGGGTGTAACTAGGTGTAACTAGGTGTAACTAGGTGTAACTAGGTGTAGCCGAAAGCGCTCTCATGGCGTTTGCTGCGACGCTTGTTGCCGGGACACTGCTGTCGACCTGCTGCTCCGCCACGTGCTGCCAGCCTGCCTGCCCCTTGTTCCGCACGTCCCGCAGCTTGGGGCAAACGAAATACCTGTGGTGTGGCGTGCCCACGTCCTCGCCACACGCCAAACAGATGTCCGTCGGCGTGATGTTGTGCTTACAGAGCTTACTCATGGTCCAGGAGTCGCCTATGAGCACCTTCCTCGCTGCATTCTTCGCATGCTTCGGGAAGTTCCTGGCCCCCAACACCGCCCTAGCGGGCTGCAAGAACGGTGCTGGCGCCAAGCTCTCGTGCCCAGGCTCTGCTGTCCACTGCGCCCACAGCTGTGCATCCAGGTCCTGCTGCAATAACATCCCGACGTCATTGGGGCAGGTCCCCAATAGGTTGAGCTGTTCCCCATTGCGCATCAGGAACATGTGCCACTTCGGCCACTTCCAGCCCGCTCTGCGTATGGACATGATGACAGCACCTGCGGGGCCTTTGACACGCCCCCACTGCGGCTGCATGCCCACTGCGATTTGCTGCTGCTTCCACGCCCTCTGGAGTTGCTCCTGCAGGTCCTCACGCTCGCTGAGGTCCCGCCGTCGTCCGCTGACACGCTCCTCCGAGATGGCCAATTGTCGTCCCACCTGCACGAAAAGATCCAGCAACTCGCCGAGGCTGCCGATGTTGTGGTACCCGCTGCCCGCTTCCAGCTGCCGCTCTCCATCGTCAGGAACGCGTCGCAGCCTGTCACCGAGCAGCCGTCGGAGTACCTGCTGCACCGCGCCACGCTCGTACCTGTATTGCTTCAGCACCTCCACTCGGTCCACGTAGTCCAGGTCATTGATGTACTCGATCGCCGCCGCTCGTCTCCATTGTGCCCGAGCCCACGATCGTCTGCAAGTAGCTACGATATCAGCCTGCGAGGCCCCCTCGTACCTCACCCCCACAAGCACAGTCGCCCACTCAAGCCAGTCGTCGACGTCTTGGTAGTCCGCCCCGCGAAGGTCTGTGATCCACAGCGCCGTCCAGACACCTAGTGCTTCATCCAGAGCAGCGGCATCACCTACAGCACCTCTCCCTGCGAGCAAGGTACCTTTGGTGTGGGGGTGAGCGAGGGTCTGCACACCAGCCTCTGGCCCTGTGCATTGTTGATCAGGTCGTTCATGTTGCCCCTGCTGGGCCTCCCACTGCGCTGCTCTCGCCGCTTCTTCACCCACCGTGAGCTCCCACACGGCGCGTGACCTACGAACCACCGGAGCAGCCGTGACCTCGTATGTGGGATCCTCCTTCGCGAGGGCCAACTGCAGCGTGAGGCTCTTCGCCCCCCTGGACCCTGGGAGAAGTTTGCCTGCGGCGCCGAACTTGCTGAAGCTGGTGTTCTGGCATGCCCAAGCACTTGCACCCATACAACACCGACCGCTTCAGCCCACATTTGTACACCAATCCCATGCCTCTTGCCATTCCTTTACCTCCTCGCCGTAACTGAAGTAACCTGGCCGTCCGCCTCCGCATCTTGGCGAAACGCTTGCCGCTCTTTGCCTTGAGCGCCGTGCCACTGGAAACCATGTCGACCCCCAGGTATGGGCAGGCACGGACAACTGGCAAACCCCTCAGGCTCATATCGCCCTGCATTGCGTCTCTGAGCCACTTGGTACTAGCCATGACCGCGCCCTTGCCCTTTGCGCCCACGGAGAACTCCAGGCCCAGCTCAGCCAGCTCGCCAGCGGGAAAACATCTGCCACCCACTGCTGCGTACCCCTCTGCCTGATGCTGAGGTCATCGACGTACATACGCCACGTCGCCAGCGGATGCTCAACCACCAAACCGTCGACCGTATCCTGAATCACCATCTTAAGGAAACCCACCGAGAACTTGCTGCTTGCAATGATGGTGCACACCGTGCGCGTCTCGAGCGACACCGCGTCCCCCGTGCTGACACGCCGCGTCATGGCAAAACAGGAGCAGACCACCGCCAGAACCCCTGTGTGAAAGCCCATGCGCTTGCCCCGCTCCCACAGGACGTG